TTCACCATGTTGACCAGGGTGGTCTCGATCTCTTGACCTTGTGATCCACCTGCCTCGGCCTCCCAAAGTGCTGGGATTACAGGTGTGAGCCACCACGCCTGGCCTGTTTTCTTATTTTTTAAGTGAAGGATAGTCTCGCAAATCCTTTTCCTTCTAAAATTTCACGATGCTGTACAAAACAACTTTCATGCTGCTAAGATGAGGTTGTGAGTAGGGAAACACCTGGAAATTTTATGTTGTTCCCAATACAACTTGCAAATATTAATAGGCAGTAATTTTCTTTCCATTAAGCATTACAGTGGTTACTTGCTTTGTGTATTTTGTTTCGTTTTGTCTTGTTTTTCATCTCCACTAGACAGCAAACCCATCATGGACAAGGGTTGCATGCTATACTTCTTCTTCTTAGGCCCCATCATTATTTAACATGTTTTTACTTTAAAAACCATTGTATGGAAGAAACATTAGACTTTATCTGTGTAACTCCCAAGTCAGACAGGCATACACTTATTCAACAAATATTTTCTAAGTGCTTAGGTACATGATAAAAATGAGAAAAGACAATAATAACAGCTAAGATTTATTAAATGTGTCCTACACACCAGGCATCATTGGAAGGACTTAAATGCATTGCTCATATGAAACCCGCAACTCTGCGTGGGCACCATTATCCAGCTTATTTGACAGAGGATGAAGCAATAGCTCACTGAGGTTTCAGTAACTCGCCCATGGTTAGATGGCTAGTAAAGAGAAGAGCCATAATTTGAACGTAGGCAGTCTGGCTCCAGGGCCCACACTCTAAACTACAACACTGCACTGTCTCTTAAGAGGAAGGTCAAGGAGCTTAGTGTTTTGTTTAATGGAGAGTATGAATAGCTAGACAGGCAATCAAAATACTGCATGGCCAATTGTGTAGCAGAGAAAGCACGGGGCACTTTGATAGCAGGCCCAGACTGGGGAAGGTCAGGGAAACCTTCCCAGAGAATGTGGCTGTCTAGGCTGAAAGCAGATGAACACCTTCTCTGGTAATTTTAAAGAACAAAAATGTTGGCATAGAGAGGAGAAGGCGAGTAGGGGAAATAATTTGTTGATAGGATAATTCAACACACAATAAAGCAATATGAACAGAAAGGCAGTGTAGGACTCTGATACAGTATTCTGCACAGATTCTGCATTGTAGCTGAAGTGCTGGATACAGGCCAGTCATTGGTGCTACCATGTCAGTGAGACTTTGAACAAGTCCCCATATGCCTCCAAGCTTTGAGTGTCTTCCTCTGAAAAAATGATTGAAATATTGGATATTATACTTCTTTAAAACATTTCTTGGATACTAAATGCTAAAAAATAAAATGCAGCAGAACTACAAAATTGTGAGGTATCTTTAGGTTCTAAATTTTCTAATTCCAAACTGCTATGCCCTACAAAGGATATATATTTTTTTAACCTACAACTTTTGGGTGAACTTTTAATTCAGGAATGTGCTATGTAAATGGTGGACAGCCTCAATCTCTCAATCTCTCTCTCTCTCTCTCTCTCTCTCTCTCTCTCACACAGAAGAAGTTACTGAGTCCTTACTCTGAACTTGGCAGGATGGCAGCACACTGATGAGAATACAGAGATGAAAAAGTGAATATGGAGAAAAAGATTATGGAGATGAAAAGCCCTAGCTTCCGGGACACTCCCAGAAGAATAAGGAGGCCAGCCATGGAACAGGAAGAATAGCAAACACCTACAAAGCTCTTACAACATGCGAGGAGGTGCCCTTCTAAATATGTTATGCTTGCCACTCACGCCATCCCAGGGGCCAATGACATTGACACTCACTCACATTTTATGGGAGAGGAAAGGAAAACAAGGGAAGTTAAATGACTTGTTCAAAGGAATTGAATTGAGTGAGAATTCTTTTCTGGAGCCAACACTCTTAATCTCAACAATGATCAACTGTGAAATAGATCCCAGGCTAGAAGGGAAATAAAAGATATGCTAATATCTTGTTGAACACAACCATATTTCAACATCCCCCTTTTTTGTATAATTCACTTATTGTTTCAAATTATACTAAAGCTGTTTATCCATATAAGACAAAAATAACAAACACTTCATGTCATCATGCCACATATATGTATATATAACAGGTATTAGTATTATATACTTTATACTATATATTAGTGCCATATGATATCATATGGTATGATTTAACTAATATATAATTGTAACACTTGAATTGTCTTCTAGATTTTTGTTAAAATTAGAATAGTTACAGAAATTATGAACTACTTTCTCTTCCTCCCTAACTAGATAATAGGCTTCTTGAGAGCAGAGATGATGACTGGCTTCCTAGTATGTTCCCACTTGCCAGCATCATTCTTGCACATAAGTGGCCCTCAATTAATGAAAGTTACTTATATTTTTTATGTTTATTCAATTAGTGGCCCTGATTGAAGAAACAACAAAAAAATGTAAGTAACTCATTCACTCCTACCATACAACCAGTAATCCACTGATTACTTGTAATAAGGAAGCTGAAGTTTCAGTCATTAATTTAAAAAATATTTTAAAACCATGATGTTTATTTTTATCTTATAAAAATAATCTCAAAATGCCTTTTTCTGCCAGAGACTTCCACAGAGAAAAAAAATTTTAAGTGGCCCATTCGTGTGAGACAATATATACTGTAAAGGAAAACTGTCAAGAAAGCATCAAGTCACAGCTGATTTTGTGCCTTATAATATTTAAGTGCTCCTTTTTCCAGTAAACATCAACGCTGTGAAAAAGACGTTGTAAAACTGATGTTGTTTTGACAGAAAAGCTGCTTTGGGTTTTTGTTTTTTAAGTCTGTGTTTAATATAATATACCAGGAAGCAAGCTGTTCAGCCTCAAGTGAGTCTAAAACACAGCAACAGTATTGTCATTGAGTGGTGACACATCCTCAAGATTAGGAAGTCAGAAAAGTGCAGAATACATTTCATTTAACACAATCTGTACAATTTAATACAATCCGTACTTGAAACTCCTGTGGAAATCAAATGTCCTGATAATGTAAGAAATTGTGGGCTGAAAATACAGAAGAATAGCTCTCATGAGATCAGCAAGCTGGAAGGAATTCAAGAGGCCAATTAAGTCAACCTAACTTCATAAAGGAGGAAACTTAATATAAAGGGGAAGTAATTTATGTAAAGTAATAAAATTCATATCCGATGATGATCAACATATAATAACAATGATCAATAATAATAATGAGCAGGAGGAACGGAGCGGGAGGTAGGAGATTCTAGACAGTTGATAGCTTGGGCATGTCCTTGCTGCCCTCCCTTTCCCAATCCAATGCAAGGATCAGCCTCTCCAGAGCTGCTGCTGCTGCTGCTGTTGCAGGAGGCAGGTGGGTCCTAGAAGGTGACGGGTAAGAACAGACAGAGCTGGTACAGGATCTTCTGCACTCTGGGATGGACAAGAGCCTGGGAACCAGAGGCAGGCGGCCTTAGATAAAAGATCAGGGACAGCATCCAAAAAGAGCTTGGAATAAGGCCTCCATCTCCAAAGAGCGACAGCTCTGGCTGGCTGCCTTCTTGGTTTCCCAGGACCTGTGAGGGGCTTGAAGGTGTCCTGAGTCCTCTCTACTCCTGAAACTAAATATTGGCCTTTGCTGCTTCTCCTGGTGCCTTACAGGGAATCAAACTTTTGAAGTCTAGTATAGAGCCAACCCATATAGGCAGAACTAGTTGTTCTTAACCACCACTTGAGCATGGCTGCTACTGAAATTAATCCAACAGCTAGACATGACCCTCAATAAACAGATAAAGTAAAATAGCCCAGTAAAGAAGATCCAGCAGCTGGCAAGAGGAAGAATAAATATAACCCCCAGAAAAGGTGGCAGTAGTAAAACAAAACTGATTCAAGTTCAGGTGACAAATCAAAAAAAAATAAGAGCATGTATAGAGATATAAAGTTTTCAGATAATTTTGAGAAGATGGTCAATGCTGAAACCTAATGGTCAGAAAGATCACGTGGAAGTAGTTCAAGTTATAGATGATAAAAATAAATGGAAAATGTAAGGGAAAACATAATAGACTCAGAAGACAGATCAAGACTTGACATATAAATAATAATAGTCAACACTCAACAGTGCTTACAATGATGGTCCAGGCACTGGTCTAAGCATTTAACTCATCTTCTTAACACTCCTATCAGGTAAGTGCCATTATTATCCCCTGAATGTTTGTGTCTCTTTGAAATTCATATGTTGAAACGTAATCCCCACAATGATGCTATTAAGAGGTGGAGACTTTGGGAGGTGATTAGGTCATGAGGGCTCTGCCCTCCTGCATGAAATTACTGTCCTTATAAAAGACAATAAGACAAACTTCTTCTTATAAAAGACAAACTTGAGAAAGCCCATCTGTCCCTTCCACCACATAAGGACATACAGAAGGTGCCATCTATAAAGCAGAGCCATCCCTCACCAGACACCAAATCTACCACTGCATTATTCTCTTGGACTTCCCAAACTCCAGAACTGTGAGCAATAAGTTTCTGCTGTTTATAAATTACCCAGTCTAAGGTATTTTGTTATAGCAGTCAAACAGACTAAGACACTCCCATTTTTGAAATAAGGAAATTAAGGCACAAAAAAGTTAAGTCACATGCTTAAGATTTGAACCTAGGCCAGATGGCTCTTGGTGTACTAGTAACTGAAGGAGAAGAAAGAACAGAGAGTGACTAGGCAATAATTAAGCAAGAAGAAACTTCCTGACAGCTGGAAAGAGACTTATCTGCAGATTGAAAGTGTTCACTGATTTCTAGGCAGAGAAACAAAAGACATACCCAGACATATGCTGGTAAAATTCCTGAACTACAGAGACAAAAGAGAAAACCTTGTAAGTTTTCAGACAGAAAGAACAAATTTCTTACCAAAAGAAAACAAAATTAGACTGATGCTGCAATTCTCATTTGAAACACTCAAAGCTAGACATGATGGAATAATCTCTAACAAACCCTGAGAAAAAACAGCCACACCCAAAGATTCTGGTATTGAGTTGAGAGCACAGCATTCACCTGTCAGAGTACAAGAAAGGTATTTGCAGAGAGAACAGGGAATCAGTATATAATCTGAGGAAAACACTTAAAAAGAAAGAGAAAAGGATTGAATCAGCAACCTATGAAGCAGAAGAGAGACTGAAATAATCCTCTATTAACATTTTAGCATATTGCTTTTCAGCTTAACACATGTATTTAAGCTATTTTTTATTGACAAATGGGATCTATTTAAACTAAAGAGCCTCTGCACAGTGAAATAAACTACCATCAGAGTGAACAACCTACAGAATGGGAGAAAATACGACAAAGGCCTAATATCCAGAGTCTACAAAGAACTCAAACAAATTTACAAGAAAAAAAAAACACATTAGAAAGTGGGCAAAGGACATAAACAGGCGTTTTTCAAAAGAAGACATGCATGCAGCCAATAAACATGAAAAAAAGCTCACTATCACTAATCATTAGAGAAATGCAAATCAAAACCACAATGAGATACTATCTCACGCCAGTCAGAATGGCTATAATTAAATAGTCAACAAACGACAGATGCTGGCAAGGTTGCAGAGAAAAAGAAATGCTATTACTCTGTTGGTGGCAGTGTAAATTAGTTCAACCATTGTGGAAGACAGTGTGGTGATTCCTCAAAGACTAGAGGCAGAAATACCATTTGACCCAGCAATCTCATTACTGGGTATATACCCAAAGGAATATAAATCATTCTATTCTAAAGATACATGCACGAATATGTTCACTACAGCACTATTCATAATACCCATAATCATATGGAATCAACCTAAATGCCCACCGATGTTAGACTGGATAAAGAAAATGTGGTACATATACACCATGGAATATTACGCAGCCATAAAAAGGAATGAGATCATGTTCTATGGATGGAGCTGGAAGCCATTATCCTCAGCAAATAACATAGGAACAGAAAACCAAACACCACATGTTCTCACTTATAAGTGGGAGCTGAATGATGAGAACGCATGGACATGTGGGGGAGAATGACATACACTGGGACCTCTTGGGGGTATGGGGGTAGGGAGAGCATCAGGAAGAACGGCCAATGAATGCTGGGCTTAATTCCTAGGTGATGTGAAGCTCTGTGCAAGAAACCATCACGGCACACATTTAGCTATATAACAAACCTGCACATCCTGCACATGTACCCCTGAACTTAAAAGTTGAAGAAAGAAAATAAATAATAAAAAATACTATTATTTTGTCCACAGCCATTAAGTTAGCATTTTCAAAGGTATAAGTACTTCATAGTATCAGTTATAAAATATATAATACATTTTTACACATTGTTTCCAAAATCTTCTTTACCAGTTAGTTATAATCTAAATATGCTAGATAACAATTTAGTGAACAAAAAAAGAGCAGAAAATCAACACCACATGTTCTCACTCATAGGTGGGTGTTGAACAATGGGAACACATGGACACAGGGAGGGGAGCACTACACACTGGGGTCTGTTGGGGGGAAATAGGGGAGGGACAGTGGAGGGAGGGGAGGGGAGTTGGGGAGAGAGAGCATGGGGAGAAGTGCTAGATGTGGGTGATGGGGAGGAAGGCAGCAGATCACACTGCCACATGTGTGCCTATGTAACAATCTTGCATGTTTTTCACATGTACCCCAAAACCTAAAATGCAATAAAATTAAAAAAAAAAAAAAAGAAATGTATTTTGTGTTTGTAGGAGTCTGTAAAAGTTGCCAAATTGCACAGTCTTGTAAAGTTGCCAAATTGCACAGTAATTTTAAAGTAAATTAGGTGGTTATAGTTTTAATCCAAAAGATTGATTAACTGGATAAACTGTTAATAGTCTAAACCAAGGAGTTATACATGTTTTATTATGGTAATCTACCACATACTTTATTCATATATAAAGACCATCTATACATCACACAGTCTGGCATATGGCAAGTGATCAAAAACTATTGGTTAAATAAATGGAGCCTGAGTATTCATAAATATTGCCCCTTTTAAATGTACTCATATGATAGTCTGCCTAAAAATGACTTAAAATTTTTCATCAGTTCAATGTGCAAAAACTGCAAGCATTCCTATACACCAATAATAGACAAACAGCCAAATCACGAGTGAACTCCCATTCACAACTGCTACAAAGAGAATAAAATACTTAGGCATACAACTAACAAGGGATATGAATGAAGGATCTCTTCAAGGAGAACTACAAACAACTGCTCAAGGACATAAGAGAGGGCACAAACAGATGGAAAAACATGGTTAAGAAGACTCAATATCATGAAAATGTCCATACTGCCCAAAGTAATTTACACATTCAATGCTATCCGCCCATCAAGCTACCAATGACTTTCTTCACAGAACTGGGAAAAAACATCTTAAACTTCATATGGAAGCAAAACAGAGCCTGCATAGCCAAGACAATCCTAAGCACAAAAAATATCAAAGCTGGAGGTATCGCACTGCCTGACTTCAAACTATACTACAAGGCTACAGTAATCAAAACAGCAAGGAACTTGTACCAAAACAGAGATGTAGACCAATGGAACAGAACAGAGGCCTCAGAAAGAATACCATGCAACTACAAACATCTGATCTTTCACAAACCTGACAAAAAACAAGCAATGAGCAAAGGATTCCCTATTTAATAAATGTGAATCCTGGGAAAACTGGCTAGCCAGATGCAGAAAGCTGAAACTGAATCCCTTCCTTACACCTTATATAAAAATTAACTCTAGATGGATTTAAGATTTAAACATGAGGCCTAACACCATAAAAACTCTAGAAGAAAACCTAGGCAATACCATTCAGGATATAGGCATGGGCAAGGAATTCATGGCTAAAACACCAAAAGCACTGGCAACAAAAGCCATAATAGACCAGTGGGATCTAATTAAACTTAAGAGCTTCTTCACAGCAAAAGAAACTAACAATCGAGTGAACCAGGAACCAACAGAACGGGAAAAAATTTTTGCAATCTACCCATCTGACAAAGGGCTAATATCCAGAATCTACAGAGAACTTAAACAAATTTATGAGAAAAAAAGCAACCACATCAAAAAGTGGGCAAAGGATATGAACAGACACTTCAAAAGAAGACATTTTTACAGCCAACAAACATGAAAAAAAGCTCATTATCACTGGTCATCAATGAAATGCAAATCAAAACCACATTGAGATACCACCTCACACCAGTTACAATGGCGATCGTTAAAAACTCAGGAGACAACAGATGCTGGAGAGGATGTGGAGAAATAGGAATGCTTTTACACTATTGGTGGGAGTGTAAATTAATTCAACCATTGTAGAAGACAGTGTGGCAATTCCTCAAGGATTTAGAACTAGAAATACCATTTGACTCAGTAACCCCATTACTGGGTATATACCTAAAGGATTATAAATCATTCTATTACAAAGACACATGCACACATATGTTTATTGCAGCACTGTTCACAATAGCAAAGACTTGCAACCAACCCAAATGCTCCTCAATGATAGACTGGATAAAGAAAATGTGGCACATATACACCATGGAATAGTATCCAGCCATAAAAAAGGATGAATTCATGTCCTTTGCAGGTACATGGATGAAACTGGAAACCATCATTCTCAATACACTGATACAAGAACAGAAAACCAAACGTCACGTGTTCTCATTCATAAGTCAGTGTTGAACAATGAGAACACACAGACACAGGGAGGGGAACATCATACACAGGGCCTGAGGGGTGGGGGAATAGGGGAGGAATAGCAGAGGGTAGGAGCATTGGGGAGGGATAGCATTAGAAGAAATACCTAATGTAGATGATGGGGTGATGGATGCAGCAAACCACCATCATGGCACATGTATACCTAGGTAACAAAGCTGCAAATCTGTACATGTACCCCAGAACTTAAAGTATAGAAAAGAAATTTATCAGTTATTCTAGTGTAATATAAATTTAAATGTTCTTACCAATTCTCATTTTTATTTTGGCCAATAACATGACATGGGGAAGATAGATATTTTTCAAAGGCTCTAATGGATTTGCATATTTAGTGTTTGATGAAGGAAATTCAATTGTTTCTCCAAAAGTTAGCATCTATTAAAAAAATTGTAATGAGCAATTAGTTGACGTGGTTTGGAACAAGAAGAAAGAGAGAAAAGTAAATTTCTAAGTCTTGCAGACACAAAAGCATTCTCACCTGTTCAGTTAGAATACTGTGAGCCTGAGTCAACAAATTTAATTTTCCTGTTTTTGAAAAGGGAGATTCCTTGAATTTCTCAGCTTTGGTTAAGTCATCCAGTAAAACAAGGCTTCTTGCCAGAGTTAGCCGTGATTGAGGAGAAATAAATTCATTTCCTTCCAGCAAATGTATTATATCCTATTAAAATAAAATTATTCATTTTGATAGTACTGTTTCCAATTCACTGAAATAAGAGCTGGCCATGTTCATTGTTATGCATTCAGTACCTAATGAAATTTGAAATTCCCTCCTTTTGTTCTAACTGGAATCCCTCCCTGACTATAAATATGAACAAAGTTTCCTTTCTACCTGAAGTTTTGTTATGATGTCCGCCTTTAAATGCTTTTCTTGTAGGCCAAGAATTACAGCTTGCGTCAATAATTCAGCCTGCAGTTCCGTGTCGCCTGCACTTTTTGCCTCCATACACACTTCATTGATGAGGCTCAGGCAATCTGTCATATCATCCTCTAAAATAAACAAATGTGGTTATTTAAAATGCACTGAGGAAGTAAGAAGTTATCCATGTGTATGCCCCCAATTTTAATCACAGAAATATTGTATAATATCAAAGAACAGGGGAGTATATTAAGATGGAAAACTTAAAGACTCTGCATGAAACATGGAAAAGAAATGTGTTGTAATTTGGGGGAAGGTACTTGAGGATTTTCCCGTGCTGCAAAAATGATATTGCATGAGACAATTTAATTTGGAAGGTCAATAGAAATGAGTGAATAGATAGGTATACAAATAGATAATGATTAATCACTGCAAGTACTAACATTTACCTGTGCCAAGCTGTGATCAAAGAACATCATACATTTAACCCATTTAATTCTGACAATAATCCTATAGAGTAGATACAACTGCCTCCATTTTACAGGGCAGGAAACTGAGTAATGGGATTTAAGAGACTTGGCCAAGAAAAGCTTGGCAAGAAGTGGTGGATCCAATATTTGAACTCAAGTGGATTGGCTCCAGTAATCTGTGCTCTTCACCTCTACACTTAGTTGCCTTCCTAGATGACAGGAAGACCTGGGCATTTGTATTTTGAAATTGCTTTACCTGTTTTGCATATGTTAGTAAGATCTATGGGACTTTCAATGATACAAAGGACTGTCAAAAATATTCTTATATATTAATAACCTGAATTTTTAATTCCAAAGCAGATCAAGCTAGAAAATTATAAAATGTTAACATGATATATCCCAATAAACCCCTCTTCACCTATGTAAAATTAATTTTTATGAAAACATTGATTAAGCAAATAAGATATTTGTACCTTTTACAATTCCAATGCCATGAATCTGTGCAACAAACGCAGTCACCAGCGCTGAGCGGCACCTCAACCACAGATGAATGTTGAAATATTCTCGGGCATTAAGGGAAATAGGATCTAAACACTCACTGTCATCTTTATTGTCAGTGGCCTAAACAGTATTAAAATGATGGTTATCTTCCCATTGAATAATGTCAAGTTTCTAGCCTAAGACTAAATGTAATGTAAGTTAAAAAAAGGCATCTGTATCATTTCAGAGTATTAAAATTTTAAATTAGAAATTATTATTGTACATTTTATAAACTATTTAAAAATACTCAAAACAAAATCACCCACAATCCAAGAATCCTCTTTAAGATTTTAGCACATTGCTTTTCAGCTTTCCTTTTCTCTCTCTACCCATTCTTGAAAAATGGTTTTGTAGTGTGAATTTCTTATTGCAAATTATATTATCAGCAATTTCTATGTCACTAAAAGTTTCTGTAAACGCCATTTTACGGGCTAAAAAATAAATAATATACACTAATATTCATGTAGTTATTATGTGTCAGGTACTGTGCTACATGCTCTGTATATATTACCTCATTTAATCCTCCTAACAGCCAAGAGGTATTGTAATCATTTCCATTTTACAGTTGGGAGAACTGAGACCTAGGAAGGTTAACTATCTTGCCTAAACACTGTCATATTTTGACAGAGGTGGGATTCCAATTTGTGTCTTCTTGCCTTTAGAGTCCACAGTCTTAATCCACTGTGTCCTGTTGCTGTGTGCTGCTCATATTCCAAACAGGTATCATAATTAATTTGCCACCCTCAATATTACACTTTACAAAGTGGTGAAAAATGTCCAGAGGGCTAGGAGGAATGTGCAAAGAAAGCTATTTTGGGGGGAGTGGAGTCCATCTCAGACACTGGAAACTTTAAAATCGTTTAGAACAACTACCATTTGTTCTAAGTATTTCCTGCTATGCATCTCTAACAGCTCCTCATGTCCAGCCAATCAGCAACACATGCTAGCCAACAGTAGCTAATAGAGCCTAAAGGGGCTCCAATGCAGGAGGGAAGTACAGGAAGGGTAGGGCTAACTGTTCCGTGGAAACAAGGGTAAGCAGTTGACAAGCTGGGTACAGTGGCTCACATCTGTAATCTCAGCACTCTGGGAGGCCGAGGTGGGTGGATCACCTGGGGTCAGGAGTTGAAGTCCAGCCTGACCAATATGGTGAAACCCTGTCTCTACTAAAAATACAAAAATTAGCCAAACGTGGAGGCAGTTTCCTGTAATCCCAGCTACTCAGAAGGCCGAAACAGGAGAATTAGTTGCTTGAACCCAGGAAGCGGATGTTACAGTAAGCCAACATGGCACCACTGCACTCCAACCTGGGCAACAGAGTGAGACTCCATCTCAAAAAAGAAAAAAAAACAAGAGTAAGCAGCCAACAGAGGCCCAGAGACAGGATGGTGATTTGAATGGGCACAAAAAGTACTCAAAGAGTCTAGCATGTAGATTAGCAATACAAAAAAAAAATGCCATCAATATAACTTAATCATTCATTGCTCAGACTTCCTGTCACTAATGAAAAGCCAGGTCACATTAATCTCAATCAGCATTTCTCAACCTCAGCGCTACTGACATAGTTTGGGCCTGATACCTGTTGTGGAGAGCTGTCCTGTAGATTATAGGAAGTTTAGCAGCTTCCCTGCCTCTAGCTGGTAGATGCCAGTAGCACCCCATTCACCCAGTTGTGACAACCTAAAATATCTCCAGACGTTGCCAAATTTCCCCTTGGAGGCAAAATCACCCCCAGTTGACAGTCCTTATTCTAAGTCAATTTTTAGAATTGGATTGCTTTTTAGCATTTTTGTTGCTTTTAATATAGTAAGAAATGAGTATTGAGGACAATTAATTTTGCTAATTTGTAATGATGCTAGATATTAGCAATTTTATTAGTAATGCTTGAAATAATGAGCAAGGGTTCTATGTGATGAATCTTTATATTTCAGTCCTCAACAATCCTGTGTTGTTAAATTACTTGGTCTTATCAGAGCCCAGTCACAGAATATGTGACATTGGTTGTCAGATCTGAGAGCTTAAACAGAAGATTCTAACAATGGGGAGTCCAAACCAGGAAACAGCACTGGTAGCTGACTGGCAACACTAAGGCGATAAATTCAAAAGTGGAATGAGGAGCCAGTCTTGGGAAACAACCTTATTTGCTAGGTAGATCAAAGCTAGATTAATATAATGGTACATCTGGGACTTTGGATGGGACTTTAGTAATTATTATATCCCTATTCCATCAGTGCACAAATGAGATTAAACTTTTTCTAATTAAGAGATTTGTCCAGGCCGGGCACGGTGGCTCACGCCTGTAATCCCAGCACTTTGGGAGGCCGAGGCGGGTGGATCATGAGGTCAAGAGATCGAGACCATCCTGGTCAACATGGTGAAACCCCGTCTCTACTAAAAATACAAAAAATTAGCTGGGCATGGTGGCACGTGCCTGTAATCCCAGCTACTCAGGAGGCTGAGGCAGAAGAATTGCCTGAACCCAGGAGGCGGAGGTTGTGGTGAGCCGAGATTGTGCCATTGCACTCCAGCCTGGGTAACAAGAGCGAAACTCCGTCTAAAAAAAAAAAAAAAAGAGATTTGTCCAAAGTATACCAATAAATAAATAGCATTAATAGGACCTAAATCTTTTTACTCCAAATTCAATGTTTTTTCTACTTACTTCTTTGCTTCATCTAAATAATTAGACAATTTCCTAGCATGCCAATAGTTCTTATATGATAAATATTGTAAGGACAGCATTAAGTCATACTTACAGAAGTTCCTGGAGAGATAGGATTCTCTGTGTCCTCCTGTACTACTTTCTTTTGAAAAAGTTTTGAATCCTGGAGAAGTGTAAGTGTAGAAAATACTATTGCAGCACTAAAATAGAGAATATATTTTTAATGTTATCGGTATTTTATTTGTAGCATCTGTATGTTATTTCCTAAATCTCTTTCTCCAAAAAAACACTCTCACAACCCCCAAAACTGTTAGGTGCCATTTCTGCAGACCTTAAAAGCACCCTGGTCTTAACCACACACTAGTACTTGTCATATTTAATTGCCTGAGTATTGCTTCACAGCTAATTTGTCTTATTCCCTATTGAAATCGAGCATCTAGTATAGTGACTGAGACATAATAGAAACTAAAAAATATTTTTAAATGAAAATGAGTGAATAGAAGAATAAAGGAGTGACATCTCCGAGATCTAAAACAAAATGTATTGGCAATCTCATTTTAATAAAATGAGTATGTATGTACTTTATGTACATCAGAATGAGATTCTACGGCTTTCTGAGGTTATGGAACCGTCTAACCTAATGCTATTACACTTAGAAATCCAAGCTAAACTATCGCTTAATCTGTGTCTAGTAGTGCCAGAAGGAAAATATACTCTATCAAGAAAATGGAGGCCAGAAGTTAGGAATTCTTTACTTCCTGTTGCTCCATACATAAATCTGTCTGCATTTTAAGTCATTATATCCTCCTCCCCTGTAGAACAGTAATTTTATCATTGGCATCACAATTCTTCAAAATATTTTAATGACATATATTAAGAGCTGTCTTCTTTTGAAAATGTATTCCCACACAAAATTCAAAATACAGAACAATCTGTATGCCTGAAGATGCTTATCATACATGGATTTTAAAAAGCTGGATGAAGGCCAAATGGACAATATATCCATCCAATTTCCCCACTTAATAGCTCCACTTGAATAGTTAATCCAGTCACATTTAGCAGGTGTTATGACATGAATCTTTTTCCCACAAAAGGTATGTCGAGGTCCTAACCCCCTGTACTTCAAAATGTGGCCTTATTTGGAAATAAGTTCATTACAGAAGCAACCAAGTTAAAATAAGGACATTAAGCTGGGTCCTAATCCAATGTGACTGGTGTTTCTATCAAAAGGGAGAGCTGAACATAGACGTTCATGGAGGGAAGGTGATGTGAAGACGCACAGGGGGAAGACGGCCATGCAACAGGACTGATGCACTACATGCCAGGGAACGCCAAAGGCTGCCGGCAAATGCCACAGGCAGGAAGAGGCAAGGGAGGATTCTCCCCTAGAGCCATCAGAGCAATTGTGACCCACTGACACCTTGATTTCAGAAGTCTAGCCTCCAAGAATGTGAGACAACAAACTTCCTCGCTTTCTGCCACCCAGTTTTTGGTACTTTGCTACAGCAGTCCTAGGAGTCCAGTAACAGCAAGTTAAAGGCAGACTCCCTCATACCCATCTCTTCCACCCAAACCCACTCCTCATCCATGTCCTCTATCCCACACACAGAACCTAGTACTTGCCATGGCTTCCTCTCTCTGACTCACACTTTATGTTCAATCCATCAACAGGCTTCACCTTCTAAATGGGGATCCTCATCTCCTCCACTGCTAAAGCCTTTGTCCAAGCTATGATCGTCTCCAGGCTGGATGACCGCAGTAGCTTCCTAACCAGTTTCCTGCTATGACTCTTGCCCTTGCAGTTCTATGACACCATCTCTGTCTTTTCACAGTTTCTAACAAGTTTGGTTTTGTTGATATTTGTGCTAACCATATAGTGTTAGTGCCATACTTATGGTTGTTATATAGTTTCTGTTGACTGCACCTTTCATCAATATCAATGGTCCTCTTGGTGCAGTTCAATGCCTTTTGCCTTGCATCCTACTTAGCATGATACTGATATTGCCATCTTTGTTTACCTTTTCTTAGTATCTTTGATAACTGATAATCCTTTTAGTTTTAAAGATGTCTGGACCATTTCTGACAGTGACTTATAGTTCAATTTTATATTTACTACTTCGAGTAGCATTCCTCTTCTAAGGAAAGCATCAAACATCCCATCTTCTGGGACATTACTCTCCTTCCTCTGCCTACCCCCTCTGCTTAAGCTCTTAGTGGGGCTTTCCATACTCTTTCATGACCCTGCCTCCTTGGCCATGGTGCTTGGGACCAGGTATGGGCACATGAGCCAAGCTGGGCCAATCAGAGCACTTCCCTGGTATCTGAACCTGAATCAAGAGACAGTCTCTTGCTCTCTCTCTGGTAAATCTGGGGCATTAGAAGTCTTGATCTAGTGGCAGACAAGTACCCAGCACTGTAGAGGAAGCCAATCTGATCAAATAAAGGTAATACATACATAGGCTGAAAGAGAGAAGACAGAGTAAGGTGGTTCCAGGAGCACTCATGCCTCTGATCCCAGTAAACCCTCAGGCTCCTCCTTATCTCTGTCTTCCCCAGCTTACATGAATCAGAAAATTCCCCCTTTTGCCTGATTTGGCTTAAGTTGGGATTCTGTCACTTGCAACCAGAAAATCCTCACAAATCCAGTGTATTTCAACAAGTTTACATTTATGCACATAATTAACATGCCTTGTTTTCTTCTATTATTTTATGCTGAGTGTATTCTTCCTTTTTCCTTTGTTTTGTGTCTTTTGCTGTAAGACTATTTCCCTTCTATTTTCCACACTGATTTGAAATATATATATCCTGGTTTAGATTCTAATCACAGTTATTTTTAATATTTTCCAAAGCATACTTCTCCATTAATCCATCTTAAAAACATAATTTCTCTACTCTGCTTCTCTATTTCTCAATGTATAAAATGAAATAACACATTTTGATTCCCTGCATATAGGATGAAGAATTTAGTTCTTTTTAATTACCCTATCTCTCCCACATTCACTTGGTTATTATAATCTGATATATTATTCCAAGTCATTGTTAATTATCTTTATACTCTATCACCTTTTTGAGGAATTAGTTTGGACATCTGCATTCTATGCAAACTTATCATTATTTACACTGAGCCCAAACTAGCTCCAGTGCCTACCCACCAGTCATTTTTACAGAACCACTGCCTAGTTCCTCACTCTTAACTATGAGATGGATCTCTTCCGTTGGCTGGAATAGTTCCGTAAGCCCCTGCAGAGTGTTAGGGTACTTGCCCAGGTTTCTGGATGGTGAACACCTTCTGAGTTACGTGTTTAGAAGGTAGAGGGACCACTCTTCTCTTCTTTCCTGGTCCACATTGCTGATCCTTTGAGGGGATAAAGTGGATGTACATGATCCCTTGTGGTTCTCACTCCATCTTCATCTATGGGGACCAGTTGAAAAATAGTTTTCCCACCTCTTGCAAAAGTAGAATTATTATCCTTAGTTTTCAACTCTATTAAAGCTTTTACATTTTTCTATCGCTGTGGGGCAACATGTCTTTCAATGGGAAGTTGGTAGAGAACCTATCAGGGAATATTTTCCCGATGGTATTTTTCCGGTAGAGATCTGGACCTCATTCACTGCTTGAACTTCACTTTGTAACTGGACGGATATTTTTCCAGATGTATACATACTAGTCATAATTTCTTCTTTTTGACGAAAAGTTTATGGTATATGACCATTTGTCAACAGTGTCTTTTTATCAATTTTATGTAAAAATGATAGGAACTATTTGTCATATTTACTACAAGTACAATCTTGTTTTCCTGTGTATTGTGGCTGTAAGGGGTTTGTTGTTATTGAACTTACAAAATTAAAGTATTCAACAGATTAAATCAGTTGACATTTTTCTTTATAGTCAGTTGAATTTTGGAAATATATCTTTCTAGAGATTGTTATTTAATTGCATTTTCTTCTTTAAAAAAAACTTTAAAGTTCATCTGAAATAACTTAATATTTTTTAAGAATTCATACATTGGAGACAGAGAGATCAAATCCCACTTTTGCCACATATTAACTGCACGATCTTGTGAACCCCAATTATCAATCTCATCATCTATAAAGCAGTAATGATGATAATAACAGTGCAAACTTCATGACATAGGATTATTACAAAGATTAAATAAGATCCTTTCATAGAATAACTATCTTATTTAATTCTTATAATAATCCAAAAATACATATTAAGCATCTGCTATGGGCCAGGAAGAAATCCAGGCGCTATAAATACAACAGTAAAGAAGTCAAACAAGAATCCCTGCCCTGATGGAGCTGACATTCTAGTAAGCATGGAGTGTACTTAGCAAACAGGAGTGCTTGGCAAGCAGAGGCACATAATGCATGCTAGGTATTATCATTATTAGTGTACTGAGTTGCCCAGGAGAGGTGGGGAGAGGCTAAATTGATTTTTTTTATAATTTGTTAAATAACATCCCAATCTTCTAGCAATTACTGAATTTTAAACTCTTAAGATTTTGCTGAGCCATTAAAATCGTTTAGATATTTGGAGAACATTTTCTAAGATACTGTGATTATCTAACTTGTTTTTTTATTTAAAATAAAACTAAACAAGAAAATAACAACAGCAAACAGAACATGGACTCAGCGTGTACACAGGAAACGTCCCTCCCCAGACTCTCCCTCCCTCAAGGCTACACACATTCCTGAGGCACCTCATTTACTCATTAGCGTCCAAGGCCAACTCAGAATGGCTGATAGAAAACTCCCATTCTTCTCATCTTGAAATTCAAATTCAGATTTTAAGAGAAACAAAGTATGAGGTTTGGTATCTTGCTAAACCAAAAACTTAATGAATAAAATATAAGCCATACCAATATGTCCTAATCCACTCGGTACTGCTTAGTTGCAGAACAGAAAATTTCTAGTTTCTCCACTACACTAGACAGACAGAAAGTATTTGAGGATTATCCACTGCCAACAATCTAAAAATCCCAAAAGAAGAAAGTTTCATTCTGACACAAAATTAAAAGGCCCAAATATTTTTCCATTTAAACAATAAATATAAAGGAAAACAGGATGGTATATTTATTTAAAAAAATACAAACCACAGGATTCTGAAAGAAAGGGGCAACCCTAGAAGAAGTAAAAATACAATTTGAATAACTTTGATCCCGTTTATTTCTTATTAACATTCATGACAAAAAATGGT